AATGGAGACGTGGGTTGCAAGACAACACTCTCAGAAATGGAGAAGTATCTCTAGACATCTCCGCCAGGCACGAGAGCTCATTGAAGGGCCCAGTGCTAAGGATGGACGCTTCTGCCTATCTCTGGGTAGAGCCAACCTAAGGTTGCTGGTGGGACTGTTGTCTGGCCATAACACGTTAAGGCGGCACCTGCACGTGATGGGGGTGGCTGAGGATCCCTTGTGCGAACGCTGCGGAGTAGAGGAAGAGACCTCGGCGCACGTTTTGTGTCGCTGTGAAGCTCTGAGCTACTATACTGGGGTCCATTACTTTGGACCCTCAGGACGTAAAGGAGCTTGGACTCAAGGCGATTCTCAACTTCGCTAAAAGGGCGAGGCTTGTGATTTAAGTATTGTAGAGGTGCATAAGGGCTCGCTTAAGCGGCCTATTCACTGGCTCCTTATGGTGGCCGGGATGCCTCTAAAATTCAAGATTCATTCATTCATTCATTCTAGCATACGTATCTATGCACACTCGCGTTTCTTTCTCGTACATATTGAACCCAAGCCTTCAGACAAATTTTGTTTTCCATGTACAAGGGATGTTCCAATAATGGCGGATCTATGGTGAAAAAGAATAGAACAAGCTCTGTGTGAAGTAGGATTGAATTTATTTGTATTTAGATGAGAACCTTTGAATGATATTATGTTTGAAATATGACATGGGCCAAATATACACCGCAGCTTTCCACAGTGGCACGGATTCAAGGGTTTAATTTTGAATGACTCTGAGGGCATCGATGGATTGTGGTTTATTGGCATATACCTGTACCTGCATGGTCTATAGGCTGTTTCCCATAGTAATACAATTGGCAGGTGTCCACACCGCCCTGGCCTTGCCTGGCGAGCGTTCACGATTCTGCATGAACGCATGGTGATGTAAATTGGCCACCAAGAACGTGCCATTTGACACCATTAGAATTTTTTTGAAGGGTTTTGAACTCATAGGTCAGGTAGACTCATTGGTAATTGGAGCTCATGGATCCGTTCCTCGGTGGGAAACAGCGAAATGGTGTACATAGGCCCAGCAATTGAAAAAATCGTCAATATTCCTCGCGCAGCTTATTTTAATCGGCCTCAACATAGTCCTGTCCTTATGAAGGTATTCCTTTTTTAGTCATTTTTTATTATTTTAAAGACTATTTTTATCAGTTTGATATTCTGGGAAGAACTACGGAGATGGCTGGTTTCCACGTTAATTTTAAATGAGCAGATGTTTGTGATTATTTGTTATTTGAAAAAATGAAGTATGGATTTAGAGAGATTTTCGTAAAAAGTGTATTGGGAAATGATCATCTAAAAAAAACTGCTCCAGTAAGAAATAAAGTTGGAATTATTTGTCGGAAACCAACTTAGGCGCGATTTTACCAAGCCGGGGCACAAAAAAGTGCGTGGGGCACAAATTCAATCAATGTGAAGGCGTCTTTGAAGAAATGGATCTTATGAAAATGGCCGATTTCTTGTAGAATTTCTCTCAAACTAGAGAGCAATTAAACGGTTTGTATAATTCTCACATTAAATCAAGAAATATATCATAAATCACTTGGTTTAGCTACAAAAACATATTTTTTCATTTCCGTCCGGACACCAAATAAGCGACCATGATCATATAATGGACAAATTAAAAATAACCATCTGTGCCATACTCGAAACATGGTCACAAATCTGATACAATCTCTAGATTGCTATGACATTTTATTGAAAATAACAGTGTCTCACTGTTGCTGCACAAAATTCTTCTTGATAAATTCTTTGAGGACATAAATAAAATCACAGAATGCTTATTCTTCAACAAACACCGAGTAAATACTCAATTTACTTGACTATCGTGTGAAGAACCATGCTCCTTAAGTCAGCCCTGTTAACAGGGAGCTCTCGCGCCCTCTACTGTACAGTAGGACAACTACCTCTAGCCTTGCCACTGTCACCGCGGCGCAGCGCCGTCGTGTAGTCCTCCTACCGTCCAGTAGAGTGCGCGACATCTTCCTGATAACAAGGTTTTTCGCACAGTAGTGTAAATTATTACTTTTTTAATCTTGAAAAGTGTGATATTATACATTTCTATATAAGCCTCTATTCTATCAAATCATGAAACATCTGAAACTGCGACATTCTTAGGAATAGAGATGGATATTGGCAGTATGTGTGAAAAGTTGACCTACTTGTATTATGATATGCTAAAGCTTAAGTTTTGCTTATCAGAATCAGCTTTGCTAGAGGTGTATTATTCTCTCGTCAACCCACTCGATTGGGCCTCATCTGCAGATCCACTGATTCGGGAAATGGGTGTCCAAAAACTGTCGTACTGGGGCCATATAGTGCGGCGAAACACCATCTTGTTGGAAATGAACATAACTTTCTACTATTCGGTAACATCAAGTACCTGGACATGTACTTGCCGGCGTACATGTCCAGGTACGCCGTCAAGTTTCGATGAATTAAGCCGACTTCCCGAAATGCCGGCCCACACATTTATTTTTTCAGTGTATCTCTCACAACAAATGTGGATTCGAGTCACTCCAATATCGACAATTATGTCTATTTACAGCACCATGTAAATAGAACGTACACTCATCCGAGAAAGAAATATTAAATTACAGATTTGCGTTGTTAGTTAAACGTTTGGACATTAATTCGCAATACCCAACCTTCTATCCAAATCGTCTTCGTTAAGCTCATGGACAAGTTTCATCTTGTACGGGTGAAATTTATTGTATTTCAAAATTCTTTGCACTGTTGAGCGTATAAATACTGAAGAAGTAGCCAGTCCACGAGTGTTGTCACGTGCTACGTGTCCCAAAACTGCTATTTCTGCTGCTTCCTTTCATACAGTTTCATACAGTTTTGTTATTTCTACCCTTTCATGAATTGAATAGGCCTTCGTTCAATATCCATCACAACTAGGTAGGAAACTTAACATTTTGAAATGAGAGACAAAGTTTTTTTATGGCATACGATTACACTGACTGATGCTAAATGTTCTTACTGGTATCCATTATTATCAGTATTAACTTGGTCGAATTTTATTACATACTCAAATAGCTTCACAACCATTGAAAAAGCGTATAAGCTTTATTATACAGCACTTACTAAAAACTTCATGGAAAATCTAAAAATTTATAAAAAATGGGGTCTTCTATTCAAAAATCTAAAGGGTAACGCAATATCTTATTTTTGTACGGCTATAGATAATGAGACGTCGTCCTAGAAATCAAAATTGACGTGTCTGAGCGTTTTTCCCAAAATATACCAGGAGAGTTACAAATGGGATGTGACCTTGTCATTGGGCCACCCTGTATAACAAACTTCGAACTAACCTCAGGAATGTCGCAAGCATTGTTAGTTTTAAATGTCAACTACGAAAATTATTAGTTGAAATTTTTTTCATACTCTTTGTCTGAATACCGCGCACTGTGATGTATCTAATTTTTCACAACTGTCTTTTATACGAGAATTCTATACGCCTTTAAAGTTTTTTCTGTTTGTACTATCTTGTGAATACTTATATTTGTTTTGTTTTACTTTTAATTATGTATGCTATGCTTTTCGGAAGAGTCATGTCATTTTCATGATCTACAAGTCGAAAAAAGTATCTATCTATCTACTGGATGTTGTACAGCAACCGTTATTTTTGATAAAATGCTTAGTAATATCGTCATGCTAATCTATTGTATAAGTTTTGATCCATATTTCTAGTAGGCCACAAATCCTTTTTGGTTGATGGAATTTTGTGTCCGGACACAAACGAATAAAACGGTTTTTGTAGCTGAATCATGTGGTATATGACTACTAAGCGGGGAGTTACATTAGAGCCTATGACCATAAGACGGGTGCTCTTGTCGCTCCACATCAACAAAGCTTCTGGTCCGGACTTGATTTCTGCAGTTGTATTGAAGAGCTGTGCAGCGGAGCTTGCCTCTTTTCCAGATATCTCACGAATCCGGCACCTTTCCAGAAAACTGAAAATTTGCTCATGTCCAACCTATCTCAAAAATAGTATGTAAAACCGACCCTTACAACTACAGTTATAAGTAAGGTGATGGAGAGGTGCATAAATCGCGAGCTTCTGAACTACCTTATGGTGAGGCTCTTGATGTGATCGGAAGCTTTCGATCAGCTGTGGCACGCTGCCTTCTTACACAAACTTCCATCTTATGACCCGCTATGAGAAGTTTTGCAGATGGGTAGCTGACTTCCTCTTTGGCTGCAAAATATTCGTCGTAATTGACGGGTTCTCCTCTTCATCCCACAACGTCAACGCGAGTGTTCCCCAGGGACCCGCCGCGACTCCGACACTGTTTCTCTTACATATCAACGATACCCTTTCCTGTACGATCGACCCAAACCTCAGCTTTGCTGATGATAGCACTCTACATGCAGGAGCGACAAGCCGATCTCTGCCGGTGAGCTGGAAAAAAGACTATCAGCGTTTTACTCTCTGCCGAGAGACCTGGAGGCTAGCACTGCCTGGGGGCGCAACAATTTTGTACAGTTTAATGCTTCCAAAACACAATACTGTACTTTGACGAACAAAAAGCGTCCTAGCAGTCATCCGGTTTCGATGGATGGCCTGGTTCTTCCAAATAGCCGTTCATTTCGGTTGGTTGGAGTCCAGATGACCGAGGTTACTTGATCTGGCACGAACACAGCTCGTCAATAGCGGCAGCTGCTGGGAGAAAGCTAAGCTATTTGTTACTCGAGTATTGCTTACATGTTTGGGGTTCATTAGATCCATCCAAGACGCCTTTTCATTGGTCCAATTTGTGCTAAAGACGCACGTTTTTATTCCCCCCTGTCAATAGTAAAATCGAGCCTTAGTGACAGTATCTCTTTACCTTAACATGTGACATATGTCATTGTTACCTGGTGTGTTGTATCACTGTTACCTAAGCTACTTAGGTACGGGGTTGAAGCAAGTGGAAACACACGGGGTGTGGAGTTAAAACAAACACAGTTTACATTACTTGAATGAGAAATTGTACATCATGATTAGTAGGTTCCTCCGAAATTGTTTTAACTTCTTTAACTTGTATCCTTTTTACCCTCTCTTTTGGAGATGATTCTCTGATTTCTCGTAACTTTCTAGCTCGGGTAGCCAGGCTGTCTGTTTTGTTGAATACTGGTTTTTCTCTGTCTTTGACCACGGAAAAGCTGTCTGAAACTGAAAATGAGGAAAACATACAGGGTGATTCCAACCAAAAATGAAACACCATATTCAGTACCGCATTTTAAGGGAGGTCTTATATGTCAGCTGGAATGAACTTGGTATGTGGATTTACCTAAGTATCGTCCACATTCCAAAGTCCTTACTCAAAATTAATGTGCACCAGTGGCGGAGGTACAGGGCATTAGTGGCATTCATTGTCCAAATAAAAATAATACACCACTGTTTTTTTTTTCGAAACGCGCAATTTTTCGAATTATACCGTCAATTTGCTACAAATAATTACTCTTGAGTTTTTTCCTAGAGTGCATTGTTTTCGTAAATACTACTAAAGAAAAACGTATTTCCTCAAAATTTGTTGTGGCTAGTTGTTTAAAAGCGCACCACAAAAAGAAATCCAGGAGGTTCAAATCAGGAGACCTCGTAGGCTAATGTCTGGGTCCGTTTCTGCTAATCCATCGTGGTCTAAAATGATAATTTAACCACGCGGTTATGTCACGATGAACATGCGGGGAGGCACCGGCGCGCTGATACCACATTCGTACTCTCATTACTAACGGAACATCCTCTAACAAAGTTTCTATGTAATTCTCTAGAAAAGCCAAGTGAGCTCGCATTTAAACGTTGTGACAATATGTGCATAAACAGTTGCTCATCGAAAATGCCACACCTGACATTTCTAGAAAATCTGTGTTGAAACGTGTGGATTCTCACAGAACGGGGATTTTCTAACGATCAAATATGTTCATTATGAGAATTAAAGGTTCCACTCCTCGTAAAAAGCGATTCATCTGACCACAGAACCACAGTAACCACTAACAAAAATTTTGCCGTTGCACTTCGTCGCGGAGTTGCAGACATTGCACATTTTGCCGATAGTAAGGATGTAAAACTTCCCGATTTCACAGCACTCAAAAATGGGAAAAAGCAACTTTTGACTTGAGTTTTACAAAAAAAAAAAATGGTAGTAGTAACGATTATAACAGTATAATACGTAACTTTGACAAACTATCTCCCAGAAAACGTCAAATTGGTATAAGGTCTCCTAGTTTATTTTGAAACTAATCGTATCTAGGCTCTTCATGAATGATCTAATTTATCTCTATGGAAAAACACAAGAGTCATTATTTGTAATTGAAGGTAAAATTCGAAAAATCCACACACCAAATTTTAGTTCATTCCAGTTGACGGTTTTGAGGATATTAAAATTATTTTTAAACTTCAACACCCCCGTATCTTTTTAATGAAGCCCTCGAGGAATGTTACATAGAAGACCCCCCTTAAAATGCGGTGTAAAATGTTTCATTTTTGGTTATGACTTGTGAATCACCCTGTATATACTGAGATGAGATAAATTATCGGAAACTGCACAACTAGTGGAGTTTGAACCCGGGACCCTTTACTTGTTAGAGCTTAGATTATTTAGGCTATAATTGTATGTAGGAATATGTCAGGGTGTTCCTTAATGATATGCGAATATTTAAGGGTGTGAATCTACATGAAAAATTAATGTTAGTTTGCTTTATAAACTATGGTCCAAAAATGTTCCCTTTAGGAAAAAAATGGAAATTGATTAATATTTTCAGAACCGCTTCAGATATTTCACTGACATTTAGTGCGTAGTGTTACATAGTTAATAAAGTTACATATTTTTTCAATGCAAAAATAATTTTAAGCTCTAACAATGGCGTGCGTACGGGTATTGACTTTGATATTGTTTACGAAAAAAATAGTACGCCTATGGTTTTTTGCCAAATAAAAATTATTTTTGAATTTCCCGTTCAATTTAAAACAAATGATCTCTCTTGAATTGTTTTCTTTCGATGCGCCATTTTTGAATAAAAAAATAAAAACCGTTCTATTGTCTAACTTGCAAAATTATTAATTTAATTGGAAAAATTAAACACATTAGGGGTAATGAACAACAACAACTGACAACATAAACATAACAGTAAAACCAACGAAATGATTACAAACATTTTTGAAAATGGTCCCTTTACTTAGTATGCATGCTTCCGCCCCCCTTCTCATGGAATTGCGCACTCGTTGAAATATCCCTGTAGTGTTTTTTATTCTATCACAAGCTGCAACAATTCTTTCTCTTAAATCCTCCAGAGTGTTAATGGGACTTGTGTACAGTAGTGTCTTAAGATAGCCCCACAAAAAGAAATCTAAACTGTTGAGGCCTGGGGACCTTGGTGGCCATTCTTGGAGCCGACCGCGGCCAATCCAACGATTTGGATAAACAGTTTGTAAATAATTACGAACCGCTACACTGAAATGCGCTGGTGCACCATCATACATGTACAACATAGTGTTGTCTTATTACTAACGGAAGTCTGTCCGACAAGTCGTCCCGGCAAGAAGAATGGGCCAATAAAGTGGTTGCCAATAATTCCTGCCATACGTTAACCGAAAATTGGTGTTGGCGTAGGGATTCAAATTGCGGATTTTGTGTAATTTTTTGAAGATACCACTGACAAAAGGTCACACGCCTTGGAAAATCAATGGGAAGTAATGCCTGTACTCTTAGAATATGGTAAGCATATAAAAAAAATTTCACTAAAATTCTCCAAACAATTTGATGGCCAATGTTTAAGTGTCTAGCGATCTTCCTCGTACTCGTTTCAGGATGTTATTCGACTTCGTGCAGCATTGAGAGCATTAGAGGTCTACTTTCAGATGTTCCTTTTCGGACAGAACCAGTTTTAACAAGACGACGATGAATATTAGAAAAGGTTCGACTATCTGGCAAAGCACCATCGGGATATCTCTGGTGATAAATCCGTCTGGCTTGCTCACCATTACCGTCGGCAAGGCCATATACGTAATGCATTTCCGCCATTTCTGCATTTGAATAATTCACCATTATTAACAAGATTGTAAAAACTAAATAATGAAAAAGATGTCACAGCGAACAGATTTAAATAACAGAGACTTGTCAGATATCAAAAGCCAGTGACATATTCCAGAGGAACTAGATATTTATTGCTAAATTGCATTCTTCAATTATTACATTAATTTTCTCGGACAATAGAACGGTTTTTACTTTTTTTTACTCAAAAATGGCGCATCGAAGGAAAACGGTTCAAGAAAGATCATTTGTTCTAAATTCAACGGGGAATTCAAAAATAATTTTTATTTGGCACAAAACCAGTGGCGTACCATTCTTTTCTTAAAAAATATCGAAGTCAATACCCGTACACACGCCACTGTTGAAGCAAAAAATTATTTTTGCATTGAAAAATATGCAACTTTATTAACTTTCACTACGTATTAAATATCAGTGAAATATCTGAAGCGGTTCTGAAAATATTAATTCATTTCCATTTTTTTTCTAAAACTTCAATACCCCGAGTTTTTGTAAGGAAACATTTTTGCACCATAGTTTATAAAGCAAACTAACATTAATTTTTCATGTAGATTCACACCCTTAAATATTCGCATATCATTAAGGAACACCCTGTATATTAATACATCATTTATATGAATGTAGCGCCTACAAAACTTGTTCAAAATTAATTAAAATGATCAGATACTTAAATGGACATTCAATTTAAGAAAACAGCACGGCAACATTGTGCCCCGTCTCGGAGAATGAGTGGTTGGTTAGTGGAGACCTGTCATTGAAGTTAAAATTTCCTGAGTTCGATTCCTGATCTAGGTGGATGTTTCCTCTATTTTAGCTTATGCTTACCTGTTCGTTGTCCAGTGTCTATAGGTTTCTGTTTTCGAACTGGTAATTTGATGTTGACTGTGGTCACTGGTTGTGAGTCATCTTCCAAATTTGCTAAATCAGGTGTGGATATCCATGAAGAAGGGTGACTATTTTGGTCACCATTATTCACAACTTCTTCTGCTGCTAAGTTGGTGGTCGAATAATATGTTCTGTTTTTACTTTCATTATCTCTTAAAAGATAGATGAAGAATTCATGAGAGTTGAATATAGGATTAGGTTAAAAGGCATCAGATTATTTAAACCTCTTCTGTAATGGCTTGTACGAGGGTTGTCTCAAAAATATGGTTCCCACATTTTTTTCATGCACTAGGAATTTTTTATTTGGGGGAGCCCACAAATACGACCATGTTGCCAGATTTCGCCTAGCGTCACGCGCAGCAAAGTTACAGCGCTGGGAACGTTTTTGAAACAACCCTCGTAGCAGGCAAGCCCCCCATTCCGTGCTATGTATCTTTACCCACTGTAATGTTTTCGTCCACAAAAAATCACGAGTGTTGAATGTGGATAACGCGATTTGCACTATGCAACTCTTGGCAAAAAAATATTGTTCGATTAGCTTCTGAGCTTCTTGGTATTTGAATGGCAAATATTAAAAATAGATTTTTTGAGTGCCGGTTAGCTATATGTTAACGGATTTTCATAGATTTGTTTGGATATAAGTACTTAACTTTTGTATCTTTTATTTGGCATAGTGACCTTGGAATAAGTCCAGGAATCCATGCCCGTGATCAAATGGGGTCATTCTATTTTAGGTGAGAACAGTTGTCCGTGCGTAATTCCAGTAGAAGCGGAAGTCAGTGTATAAAACATTTTTAAACTTAAGTGAGGCTAATGCGTAATAGTACAGTCATATGTCAGCAAACGCAACTGAAGACTTCGCATTGCCCCCATTTAATCTTGACCTCATTTTTTTTGCTGATGCTTTAGAATGTCTTAATCTAGTGCTGAATTGCACTTAAATTACACTGGTGATTTTTGTGTGACATGGACAAAACAAGGTGGTTTATATGTAAAACGTACCCAAAAAGCAGGAAATAGCATTCTATTTTTTTCTAACAGCCAAGGTTTTCTTGCAATAAGGCATTTTATTTGCTGCTTATACTCGTAAAATATAAGTATATGTGTGTAAGAGTACTAATGAACACTCGAATAAACATTAATCTCAGAATGTTGTTGTCGATGTTTTACGGCGATATGTTGCTCCTGAAGTATCTCTTAACAATGTCCAGCAATAATCAACAAGCACATTGACACTCCATTTGCCTTGATACCGTTTTTCCATAGCAGAAACGTCTTGGTGGAACTGTTCACCATGTTCATCACTTACCGCAAATAAATTTTCCGGAAAAAAATCGAGATGTGAATCCAAAAAGTGAATTTGTTACATCCCATTCCTTTATAAGCATTATTTACTTCACTCACAATATGTTGATAATTGTCCGCCTTTACAGTGCCTAAAAAATTTGCAGTAACTGATTTAAAAGCATTCCAAGCTCGTAATTCAGTTTCATTTAGAGCACTGTCAAATACATCATCTTTCATGATTTTCCGTATTTGTGGACCCACAAGTATGCCCTCATTAATTTTTGCCTCACTAAGTCTCGGAAATGTTTGTTTTGAATGCAGAAACCCTCTTCCATTTCGATCCATAGCTTTCACAAAAAAATTCATCAGTCCCAACTTAATATGCAAAGGTGGAAACAACACGTTTTTGGGAGCAACTAGTGGTTCATGAGCAATGTTTTTGAGGCTCGGAGTTCGGAGTTAATATCTGACGTAGTGGCCACTTCTTCTGTTCATAATGACGATCTCATCCCAGTTGCATTCCAAGAAGAAGGGCTATTACCTTTAAATCTGCACATATGGCCCATCCATATTCATTATAACGGATATGGTCTAACTCTAACAGAACTCGCATATTTTCATATGATTCCTTCATATGAACTGCGTGCGCTATAGGTACAGATGGATATTCATTACCGTTGTGTAACAACACCGCTTTTAAACGAAGCTTGATAATTTGGTTCATGTTTCTGATCTAACGCGTCAAACAAATTGTTGACATCGGAGCAATATATCAACTCCCTTTCTTGACGGAAACAGTGTGTGAGGTCTTGTTGCCGTTTTCGGTAAAAAGTAATGTTAACATCACCGTGGAGAAGATTCCATCCTTTTAATCTTGACGCTAAAAGCTCTGACTGAGATTTTGACAGATTTAATTCTCGAACTAAGTCATTAAGTTTGTCCTGTGTGATCAAATGTGGCACTGTTGAACATCCTGGCAGGTCAAGCGAAGGATAGGAAATTTTTACGGTTTCTGTACCATCACTTTCAGAATCGGTGGATTCGACTTTTTCATCCAAAGACCAAGATTCTGATGGAACTGGGACATCACTATGCTTAACGGGCCGCAAAGCTGATGGTAAATTAAAATACTTCACAGTATGTTTCGATTTTGGTCCAATACCTTTAATATTTGTGAGGCAAAAATAGTAATCAGTAGTATGGTCTCTCGGTTCTCTCCAAACCATTGGTACTGCAAAGGGCATTTTACGATTTTCGCCTCTTAACCAACCTGTTATCAACGTTACACAAGTCTTACAACATATATGAGGGGCCCATAGTTTATCCTGGTCGCCAACTTTAATTCCAAAATAAAGTTGTATGCTTTCTACACAAGGAGAGTAAAAGTACGTTTTTGGGATTTAAAAGTTAGCTCTCCGCACACATAACAAAAACTGTTCGCACTATTTACACAATTTCTAGGCATTGTCCATAAAGTCTCGATCACAATAAACAAAAAACAACACACCGTTTTAACAGAAATTAACAGTACTCAGAACATCTCAGTACTCTTCATCACAAAAAACGTAACTGACTCGGCTGCTGTTAGTCTACTAATAAATGCAATATGCTCTCTAAACATAGAGCTCGCAAATACTAGGAATAGACAGGTCTTAACATTATATATGTACGTCATCGCATAAACGCCTAGAAATGCAGCAATATGAGATGTTACGTATTTTGATTCATAAAGGTAGTTACCGAATATATGTGGGTGATAGGAAAATTCTGTTTTTACATTTGATTTAAGGGTACCAAAATACATAAGATACACCCAAAAATTGTCATGTCACAAATCCTGTGTTTATCAGCGTTATTTAACAATATTCTGCATACCCTGTAGGCTAGGATGTCCCAGCCTATGAGGGCAAACAAATTTTTATTCGACTTGAGATACACATATCCTCCAATTTTGTTCCATTTGACCATAACAACTCAAAAAATTAATATTATTACGATCGGGAAACGATAACCCGTGTCGTTCAAACTTGGAATTTGAAAGTTAATAGGACAATTTTCGACAAATAAAATACTGGCTTTATTTGTATCTTATATTTCTTAGATATTTATCATTAAAAAAACATTATTTTGTTTCGTTTTAAAGTTTTCTTTTTACAGTCAGGACATACCTGGCTGTGTTCTCGTATGCAACGTAATAAAAATTGTTTTTGTTCCTCATCAGCAGTGATTAAGCGATGGAAGTCTTGCAATAACTTGACTGCTCTTTCTGCCGTATCGTTAACTGCTCTCAGGGTTTACATCTTATTCTTAGCGTGTTGAAAAGAATGGTTATGTGGCCATGAAGTTTTGGACAGTCGTCGATAAAACTATCATCAATTTTGAGTCGGTATTTTTCCCTGAAATGAGTCATCTAAACATACGAAAGCATCTCTATCTGAGGTTAAGATATATCGAAACAAGATAGTATAAGGTGCCATCTATTGCCAGAATCGAAGTTTACGCTGGCTTAGGTGCTTTTACCGCTAAAGTGCATTGCAACCACGGTTTCACTTTGATTGTCACGATGAACAGGCAGATTGGCATATATCTAACAGAAGCTGCCTTATTCTTACTAGAAGGTTTGATCTGGGAACTAAGTAACGCTAGTTTTAATGAATCGATTGCTCTGGCCATCCATCGATGCATTTCGGTCGAATCTTAAATTTTTTCTCTGTATCTCCGCCAAGGAATATTATTGAAAGATTAATTATTTCTCGATAGTCATATCTAGCAACTTCTGTGGTGAATTAATGTCGATAAAATTCTAGCAGCTTGTCAGTCTCTAAAATATTCAGGCATGATAGCTTTTCATTATAAATCTGTATTTTCTCAGGATCCACACTTTTCCAGCTCTCGCGAAACCTTTGTAAACATTGAAATGTCCGAGCTTGTAGTTACTTGGACGATCGATCTTTTATTCACCATTAGTGCAACCCGTATTTGAAGCAGTATATCACAACAGAGAATCTGAACTTTAGAAGATTCCAGTCAATAATAGCATTCCAACATGCCTGAGCCTGTTTGCTGCCTGAAGAGTTATCCAATTTGGGTACAGCGATAAGTTGATCATTATTTTCATACGTTGTAACAGTTGGTAGACGTGCATTTAAAGGTGACAACGATTTCTCGCTTTTGAAATCAAGCTTTGTAGCTTCTGTGCGCTCCTTTCACTTCTCGGTGCGAATTCTTTAAATGGAGGACTTGCTTATAGGAAGGTCATCAGCGTTATGTCCAAGTGCCTCAATGGTTGTTTCAATAACAAAAACAGCATTTCTCATACTTAACTGACATACAGGGTTTGTCCGGAAAGTAATAGGACTCATTTTCTTCCGCCAGGACTGTACTTCGGAGCATGCGCGTTCCTAGCTAACGAATGAACGGCTGGTCAGTTGTCTCCGAGTACTTGGAGAGTCAGGACAGGCATTCTGAGTGGTGCAAGTCGAAAATGCAGCGTTCGTTAGAACAGAGGTACGCGATTAAATTCTGTGTAAAACTCGGTAAATCTGCGACAGAGACGTTTGATATGATCGAGCAGGCTTACTCAGGTGTTGCTTTAGCAAGAAGTGGTGTGTTTCGGTGACACCAGGCCTTTTTGGAGGGCCGGGAAGAGGTCGCTGATGAAGACCGTACTGGAAGACCTTCGACTTCGACAAACACCGATAATGTGACTCGTGTGCGCAAAGTTTTGAACTCAGACCGTCGACTAAGTATTCGTTTAATTGCCCAGATGTTAAATTTACCAAAATTTGTGGTTCATGACATTGTGACACAGCATTTGAACATGCGCAAGGTGTGCGCGAAGATGGTCCCAAAGGTGCTCACTGACGACCAGAAATTGCGGCGAGTGGAAGTGTGCCAAGAAAATTTCAACATGTGTGAAAGTGACCCCCAATTTTTGAATAACGTTATCACAGGTGACGAGTCGTGGATCTTTGAGTATGATTCCAAGACAAAGAGGCAATCTTCCGAGTGGCGACGGCGTCTCCTCGCCCAAAAAAAGGGAAGAATGAGCAAATCCAAAGTGAAAACGATGCTCATTGTCTTTTTAGACATCAAAGGCATCGTCCACCATGAATTTGTTCCTCCTGGACAAACCGTCAATGCCAAGTTTTTCGTGGAAGTTCTCAGGAAACTCAAACGACATCGCAGCCGACTGGAAGTTGCACCACTCCGGCTCACACCGCCTCTCTTGTGAACAACTACCTGACCAAGGCCGGCATCCCAACGCTTCCGCAGCCGCCCTACAGCCCAGATGTGCCCCCCGGGCATTTTTTTATTTCCTCGCCTGAAAAGGTCGATGAAAGGTAAGCATTTTGAGACGACAGAGGGGATCCAAGCAGCATGCACCGCGGTTCTCAAGGCTATTCCGGAGAATGCCTTCCGTGACGCCTTCAATGCTTGGAAATCGCGCTGGCAGCGCTGCATCGACGCAGAAGGAGCCTATTTTGAAAGTTTTTAAAGAATTGTAACGATTGGCTCAATAAAATTTTTTTAATCGAGTCAGTCCTATTACTTTCCGGACAAACCAAACATATCTAATGCTGCCACTAATTTTGAAGTTATGTATCTTTTGCTCATTTGAGTTTGATTAGTATCAGGCTGTGTGCTCTGAGTTGGGATGAGCGAAGATTCTTGTAAATCCATCTCGGAATCTAAACATGCATTTTCTTGCACGGGTTCGTAAGATGATGTCGAAGGAGTTAAGGCAGAAACATATTTAGCTCGCCGCTTTTATTCTTCGGTGTTCTCAAGACGCGCCTTTTCTTCTTTTGTAGCTAATTTCTTGTTCACACCAGCTAAACGACCAGGTCGTCTGACTCTCTCTGCCGCTGCAAGAAAATCCTATCTTGATTTATTTTCATCAATTGAAGGGCATCGGCAAGCGCAATATCAAACAGATTCGTAACAAACTCTTGTCGACGTTGCTCAAACACTTCTTGTGATTTGCTTGCATTTTTTTTAATCTCTCCAAACTTGATATAAGGGAACTAGTTTCTTAACACAGGCAGATATTTAGTCGGTATACTTGCCTTTTCCCAGTAAATAATGCACTCACGAACAGCAAGCTCGGCGTTCTCATTGACACTTGATTTCACTTCCCGAATATTATATAAATTTGCAAATTCAAGAAATTATTCCAACTATTTTGTGATTTGTAGTATACCGTTAGAATCGGGATAAACTAGAGTAGTTTTTAAAAGAATTCTAAGAACGTGAACGCTTTAATTTTTTTTACAGAAATTCAAAATTGAGACATTTTTTTGTTCTTCTTTGTAACCCTTTGTGAGTTTATAAATAAAAAACTACATGCTGCTGGCAAGTAATGTAAGATTGATACATCACCCATTAAGATAAATTAATCATTAGGTGGATATACTCTTTATTTTTTTTTTATTTCACTTTATGTATTACATTTTAGAGTTTTTACTAAAAAAAGTTAAAAAATCTATATAATTAATGCCGTTGGGCTAAAAACTGTTTGAGGGACCTGGGGTGGTAGACAAAGACCTCCCCTGTCCGCCAATAGACAAAGACCTCCCCTGTTTGCCATTTCAATTTGGCAAACGATGCACCAAACACCCTATAGAACGAAACTGCTAGTACTTGTCCATTAGAAGAAAGCTTTGAACCGGTAAGTTGATGCTTTACGTTCCCTATTGAAAATATTCCCTTTTCAGAACTGCGTAATTCCTTTGACATGTATACTGAACGAAAACAGTGCGTTTACTAATAGAACAAACGAGCAAGTTTTGACATTTCTAACGCAACTCGGCACGGGTTGCCCTGGTTCTAGATACATAAAACTTTATTTGCAATTGTTCTGACATTGTTCCAGCAAAATTAGAGGGTATGAGTTTGAAAAAAAGATTTTTTTTTTAACTTACTTGGTGGTCCAAGATAAGCTAGGTGTTGATAGTGCAGACCCATCTTTACGCAAATTACTTTCGCTTTCTCTCTTTTTACCTCCGTGTTCTTTATAGTCTCTAAAGCACCGTTTACACCGTGTTGGCCACCTAACCTGTGGATGGAATCCTAGAGGGCACAATGGGTCACCTTTTAAGGGGTATAAGTGATGCATTTATCGTTCTGAAAAAAAATTCAAATCATAGTACCAAAAAGATGCTCAACCTTATGCTGTATCTAGACCGTGACATACTATTTACGTCTCCAAAGCCATGTTGCTAAGTAGGATTTCATAATTTCCTTAAGAGTAATAAAAACAGAGCATCGGTAAGAGAAAATTTTTTGTGGAAGTGTACCTGCCCCCAAAACTTTTTGAGGAGCAAATTTCCTCAGAGCCATGACAACTATGCTAAAAGAGCACAACTAAAAACATGTCGGATAATAATGTTATTCTTTTTGACTAGAAAATTCTTCAGTTACCCTAGTGATGAAATGGCGACATCCTACTTATTTATGGCCAGACAAAGCTTCAGTTTGCAATTGACATTGCGACTGGACATACAGCTAAAGAAGCATCTCTATAATATGAGACTATGCCTGAAGTTCATATCCTTGTCTAGGAGATGTGAAAGGAAGCCCAGCAATACTATTGATAAATCCCTAAATCAGCCCTTGGTTGTACATAACCTTGGTCAGCAAATTTATAGGAATAAATGGAACTTTTCCAAAAGTGATAAGGAACGTTAATATATACGAATATGGGATCTTAGTTCATTATTGTCTATTGAAACCGATAAGATACACTGAAATATATTTGAGCTGCAGGACAAACATTCTAGGATAGAAAAGTCAATATGTCGTGTTGGTATCCCACACTTTTTCGAATTTGAACTTCATGCACATGTATAGTTTTCGTGAAATGTTCATAATCATTAATCAAATTCAAGCGGATAACCAAATGGAAATGGTATTTACCATTTTGGATTGGTATTTACCGATCCGTTCAAGCGAGTGTGGTTATCAGTTTGGTTATAAGATCCATGACGTCATGAATCAGCTCTTATATGTCATAGTTATCACCGCAAAATTGTGGTATTTACCTAACTCCGGAGTAGTTTTATAATTCTGGTTATTATTTGACATGTGACAAGTTAGAATTTTGCCGGGTATTGGATATTTTTATTGTACTTCAGCTTCATTTTTGGGAAACTTGATACAGGCTGACTTCAGTTTTAGCATAAGAGAGCACCTTATTATTTATAATCATCACTGTTGTTGGGGACACTTTAAATCTAGTTCCTACACTTAAAAAAGTATCCTGTATAGCCATATACCATAAGAATATTAAAATATGGCCGTATAAACTCACTGGATGATGTCCACCTGTATACGGTTTTGTTAATATTTTTTTTTCATCGCTTTTTCATCATTTCTGCTCAATCAATAAATATTTTCTTTGACATGCGGAAAAGTTTAGAGAATTGAAAGTTATCATAGCTACAAAGCCATGGTTCAATCAGTAAAAATTTTTTTCGGAAAAAAAACATTCCTCCCATTAATATTATGAAAGTTTTCTTTTTTCAACTTTCCATACCCCGTTGTAGACGAAAAAGCACCGATTATTAAGTGATAATAAAAATAATCAGAAATTATATACGCGCTTTTCTAAAATAAACAACTTGCAACAAACCGCGGTTAAAACCAACGCGTTCAAGCGATTCGAGTAACTGACGTCACCATCCCGTGTGTCATCTTGAACCATATTATAACCGCGGTACATAATACGGAAATTTTGGTTATCCGCTTGAATTTGATTATTTTTGAAATCGGATGAGGTCATATGTAGCCCAGAAACCGCGAAACAAAAACAAAAATAGCTGAGTACTAGTACTTCACAAAGCAATGTTTCAAGTTCAACAGGGAGGACATACCGATGAGCATATAGAACTTTCATAGAAGCATAAGCTTTCTGGATACTGGATTGGAAGAAAAATAAAGCTGTGTATCGTCAGCATACAAATGTACCTGACAATTTCTGAGACATTGGGAAAGGTTTGATGTATAAATACTAAAAATCGGAGGACCTAAAATGGAGCCTTGTGGTATACCCGATGGGATGACATCTTTGGAGGAATTCCCTTTATCTGTTTCTGAGTATTGTTAAAGTTAAATAGTGGCACATACGCGTGCTAGCAGACTCGGAAAGCCCTATATAATAATTATCAAATGAATTGGAGTAGTCCAATAGCACGCGAGTAAGGGTTTTTCCGGAAATCTGTTGCTCTGAAGATGTGATTTATATTTAACAGTGCAGTTTCGCAACTTAAACTCTTCCTAAATCATGACTGATAGTCTGGTAACAAATTGTTCTCAATTAAATAATCTCTTATTTGTCGGTCCAATATAATCTCTATTGTTTTGATAGCACTGGTAAAATACATATAAAATACACTAATGTTCATGGGTTAAATAGTTTTCAAGATTTCTATAATGGGCTAGAACCTTTTGTCATTTACATTTATCTGCCCATAACCCCCCTTGATCCAGTCCTGTCGTACAATTAGTTTTCAGCTGACACGTCCTGTCCATGAATTACCTCTCTGCCAAATCTCGTGTACATAGTATTGGAGATAAATTTCATAAACTTGAAAAGTTTGAAAGAAATATTCAACCCCCTCCTATCCCATCTTGAGGATATAATTTCTGAAACTTTTTGTTGATAATAATTTTAAAGATCAAAATGGGGCCCAAAACATACTCCTACTAAGTCTTGTAGGTTGGATTCATTTGAAATATTCTAAATTCTCTACAAAAAGTATTCATTCAGTTAGTAGGGTGGAATTTACAAAATTCCTTTGTAAGTGCCCACTTACACTGTATCAAAGAGTCAAGCATGATAAGCCCATATCTGCACACCTAGCCTTAAAAAAATCGCTTTTAACCCTTATTTCAATCCCTTCAAGTCTAATTTTCACAACAAAAGGTAGCATATGTCCGTCTCCAAAGTCTAAACTATATATTTGCGAAAATTAATCAAAATCTGTTCAGCCATTTTGGCGTGAAAACATACAATGATACATACACACTTCCACATTTATAATATAAATATGGATTCGTAGGGGCTATAACAGAATCCCTTCTTTCGTATATCACTATCCATGTTTTTGATTATAACTATATATCTATCTTGAGTTAAAAGCCGAACATCAGCTTTGGTTTCTGCCAAAAACTTTACCCTCGAGCGGACCCTACTAATTTCCGGTGTGAAAGCCGCGAGTTGACTACATCCTGTATGGATACAGATTCGTAACTTTTGACTTTTTTACAAGCCTGTGCATTTCGATCTTTGAGATCCAAATTATTGTATGCATGAGACTATGAAAAACAAATAAGTACCAGTAGAACAATTTTGGACCAACATGTTAAGCGTTATTGTAATGCCCAAAGTTGACTGCAGAATTTGCATCAGAGCGAAACTATGGACAATTAACAAACACTGTGAAAAAACAAAACAAAGTTACAGAAGAATGCTGACTATAAATTTAAGCTGTTCCTTGAATCCTAATGCTAAGAATGAAGATAACTTTTGATTATCTGTTATGCAGAATTCGAGAAGGAAAAAATTAAACATAATAGTGTTAACATCAAAAAGTAATTCAATACAGCTTTAGATCCAAAAAGTTTAAGGGGGATGAAGTATATTTACTGTTGGTACCTAGAGTTGCAGTAAACATATGGAAGTGATTTGATTCATACCTATACTTTTAAGAGCTTTACATCTAGTTTTCGGCAAAGTAATCTACATAGTCATGCCATAAGTTCTGTCCCTCGTTTTCAAACAAGTGTAGACCTGTTAATACTTGTCCGATTGTTTACATTGTGGTGTCAGTTGATTAAGCGCTTTTCGGGTAATTACATATACCTCAGTTTGTATTGATCTCTCGAAGCATAACGATGGAGTGGGGCAAGGCAGAGAACCGTATTGCAGTGATAGCTTTACATAAGTGTAATCACAGTGCTAGTCAGATTTTTGAACTCTTACGCGGCCTTCAAATATCGCGTAAATTTGTGTCTAGGACCATTCAGCGGTACAATGAGACGTCCTCTGTTGATGACAGGCCAAGAAGCGGAAGACCTCGTCAAGTAAGGACTCCAGCAGCCATCAAAGCCGTAAAAGCCAGGATTCAAAGGAATCCACTCCGGAAGCAGAAGATCCTATCCAGGGAAATGAAGATTCCTGTCCGGACGATGTCGCGCATCATTAAACAAGACCTAGGGCTAGGGGCTTACCGGAGACGTACGGGCCAGCGACTTACGGCCACCTTGCGACACATCAGGGCGACAAGATCCAAGAAGCTCTTGGAGAGGTACGCAGCTGGGGGATTCCGAAAGATTTTGTTCACGGATGAGAAAATCTTCACCATAGAAGAAAAATTCAACCGACAAAATGACAAAGTGTATGCAAGGAGTTCACAGGAAGCTTCGGAGATCATTCCGAGAGTTGAGAGAGGCCACCACCCTGCGTCAGTCATGGTTTGGTGGGGGGTGTCCTACGAAGGGGTCACTCAGCTCCATTTCTGTAAACAGGGCGTGAAAACAAAAGCGGCAAACTATCAGAGCGACATACTGGATCCTATCGTCAAGCCTTTAAGTGGTACATTGTTTGCCAACCAACACTGGGTCTACCAGCAGGATTCCGCCCCCGCTCACAAGGCTAAGAGTACGCAGCGCTGGCTGGAAAGCAATGTGCCAGAGTTCATTGCTGCGGAAGATTGGCCCTCAGGGAGTCCGGACCTCAATCCTTTAGACTACAAGTTGTGGGACCTGCTAGAGCAGTTGGCCTGCTCCAAAGCCCACCGTAATATCGAGTCCCTGAAAGCGGATTTGATCCGATCAGCGGCAGCTATTCCTTTGGAAGCTGTGCGTGCAGTGATAGATGAGTGGCCCGCGAGATTGAAGCAGTGTGTGAAGGCCAAGGGGGGACATTTTGAATAAAACTGTTTGATTATGAATTCTAAAAATGTTGTCGAATAAATAATATCTTTCATATAAATATATCTTATCTTGTTTCATTTTTATCATGAGATTATCATGGGACAGAACTTATGGCACGACTACGTATAATCTTTTAAGAGACTCTGAACTTTATGTGCGAATATAATGGAGAAATTGAAAAGCACCAGGTAGCTGAATATTTTAACATATAATCTATATATAGATCCAGCCTATTAGCACATTGCTAGATATTTTTAGTTGTAGTATCCAAGATTGCGACTTACCAAAGTTTTATAGGAAATAACACTCAACAAAACACTTATCAATATATCACTATTGGCACAATATTGATCACCTAGAATTTTTATATCTATCTAGTAGCATTTGTGACCGATTCTAAGCGTGGCATACAGGGGAAGCTTATAAGGAGATGAAGTTGCAAAATTTTGGAAAAACTACGGTACATGCACGCAAAAACACGATTTTTGGGCTACATTTGAAGCCTGTCGATGTCCGAATCACTCGACACAGGAGCACAGGCACAAAAAGACGTCATATTTGCCAGCGAGCTTCTCGTACCGGGTATCTACTATGTTATAGTAATTTTGGACTGCAGCCAACTCTTTCTAAATCCTTGTTTTTTCAGCACAACGCATTCTGTCTCGAGGTGAGGCACATAGACTTCATATATCATCCTCTTTTTCAATACTAACTTTTTCTTGAGCGGTAATTGGGTGTTTCGCTCTATCCCCAGAAATAGCCAATATCCACAAAAACTTTAAATAGAATTGAATGAAACTGACTTGACAGATTGATCGTTTAGGTATTTTAAGTTTTGGAGTAACGTGATGAGAAATCTATATATATGAAGACAAAAATGGGACCATTACAAGTAATACTTCTACGCAATATTTGTAATAATGATATTTGAGAAATAATACTTGCTGACGTTTTTTCATAAAAAAGTGTGATAGATATGTAATTGTTCATCGATTCCTTGTCTATTTTACTTATTTTAGCATCTATAGGACGGTGACACTAGAATCATTATGAAAAATGTAGTCAAGTAGACTTACTCTGACACCATTGAATTTGACTGGTGGATGTACTAATGTACACGAGAATTTACAAACAATTTGTTTTCCATCATGACTATATTTATTGAGCTCAAATTGAGTCGAGCAACCGAGCCTTCCGCTGTAATAACGAACGTCACTAAATTTTTCATACTTCACTGAGCAAAACTTGAAATGCACTCTCGTAAGGATGGCACTTGCTATAGCTCACTTTTTTACACCGCGCAGGCAGAAGCCTAAATGCCAGGACGCCGGAGCTTAAAGAAACTTTGTTTATCCGATTTTTGAACTGCCTAATGTTAATAGAACTGAGAAATTCATCCTCTTGTAGATTGTCCCACAATCTCGACACACTAGAGACACAGGAGCGGTCGTATGGGCCAGTTCTACATGTACGAAGTTCGACAAGGTTAGGATGGGAGGCGGGTCTGCCTGGCAGGCTCATCGCGCAGCGGCATCATGGAGGAGAGCTCTGAGAAGCAAACCCCATTGGTGTAGCGATAAAAGAGCTAGAGCGCCGATGGCCCGCCGGTGCGAAACCGTCCCGAGATTGTCTGTTAGAGCAGAGTAGGCTAGGTCTTATCTGGGCCTTGTACAGATTGAGGAGGTAATGTGGAGAAAAGTACTTCTTAGCTCTAAGCAAATAGCCTAGCTTTTTTACCAGCAGCTGCCACTATTGACGCCATCCATTGAAACTGGATGAGCACTTGCACGATTTTTGGTACGTCCACAAGCAGTGATAACCTCCAGGTCTCTCGTCGCGTGGAAAAATTAAGAAGACTAGCGGCGTATTTTTTTTCCAACTCACCGGCTGAAATCGGCTTGTCGCTCTGAATTCCTGCTTGTAGAGTGCCTTCATCACCAAAGCTGCGATTTGAGTTGATCGTACAGGAACGAGGTCGTTGATATGTAATAAGAAGGCAGCGTGCCACAGCTGATCGAACGCTTTCGTGGTATCAAGAGCAAGTGCTCATCACCATAAGACTGGGTGAGTTTACTCCACAATAGATTGCTGGTACCGTAAACCATATTGCCTGTTGCTAATCAAGCCGTGACGTTCGAGCTGGTCCAGAGCAAATTTCCAGTTTTCTGGGAAGGTGCCGGATTCGAAAGAACTGGAGCAAGCTGCGCTGCACACCTCTTCAAATACAACGGCAGAAATCAAGACCGCTTTGTTGATGTGGAGCGACAAGAACACCCGTCTCACGCTCTTATACCTGAATTTTACTTCCCGCATAGTGTAGGGAACCCATTGAATCGACGGCTCTAGACCGCCGACTTCGAGAAATTGGTCGATTTTCTATAGGAGACAAAAAATAAAGTAAATAAAAATATATGATAAATAAAAGAAATCAGAGTCGTCGGGAAATTTGCCAAAAAAATCTGCTAGCTTATTTAGGGGTGGGGGTAGTTTTCATCCTTCTCTAACACTTAGTTTTTCGTAAAAGTCAAATATTAGCATGTCTAGTAAAATATGTGTTCCAAATTTCTTTCAAATCGGACGGTCGGTTCCAAAAATATCTAAAAAAATGACTTACGAGTCTAAAAATACTTGGTTCCTCTATGTCCACGGAATATTGGGACACCTTGTATAATTTTATTTTATTTCTTGATAGTTTGCAAATATTGTAGGGTTCAAATACATCATTTATTCTGATAGCGGCAAAGAGAGTGTTTATACAGGGTGTTCCTCAATGAAATGGAAATATTTAAGGGTGTAAATCTACATGAAAAATTAATGTTAGTTTGCTTTATAAACTATGGTCCAAAAATGTTTCCTTACAAAAACTCGGGTGTTGAAGTTTTAGGAAAAAAATGGAAATTAAATAATATTTTCGGATATTTCACTGATATTTAGTACGTAGTGAAAGTTAATAAAGTTGCATATTTTTCAATGCAAAAATAATTTATAGCTTTAATAGTGGCGTGCGTACGGGTATTGACTTCGATATTTTTTAAGAAAATATGGTACGCCAATGGTTTTTTGCCAAATAAAAATTATTTTTGAGTTCCCCATTCAATTTAAAACAAATGATCTCTCTTGAATTGTTATTAATTTAATTGAAAAAATTAAACACATTAGGGGTAATGAACAACAACAACTGACAACATAAACATCACATTAAAACCAACGTAATGATTACAAAAATTGTTGAAAATGGCCCCCTTCACTTAGTATGCATGCTTCCGCCCTCCTTCTGATGGAATTGCTCACTCGTTGAAATATCCCTGCAGTGTTTTTTATTCTATCAGAAGCTGCAACTATTCTTTCTCTTAATTCCTCTACAGTGTTAATGGGACTTGTGTACACTAGTGTCTTAAGATAGCCCCACAAAAAGAAATCTAAACTATCTGGGAACCTTGGTGGCCATTCTTGAGGCCCACCGCGGCCAATTCAACAATTTGGATAAACAGTTTGTAAATAATTACGAATCGCTACACTGAAATGCGCTGGTGCACCATCTTGCATGTACCACATATTGTTTCTTATTACTAATGGAACATCATCAAGCAGCAAAGGCAACTGTTGTTGAAGAAAATTGAGGCAAGTCTGTCCGTCAAGTCGTCCCGGCAAGAAGAATGGCCCAATAAAGTGGTTGCCAATAATTCCTGCCCATACGTTAACCGAAAATTGGTGTTGGAAATGGATTTCGGTATAGGGATTTTCTTCTGCCCACATATGATTATTGTGGAAATTCTTAATGGCATTTCGAGGAAAATTAGCTTCGTCCGTGAACAGAATCATTGATTCAAATTGCGGATTATGTGTGATTTTTTGAAGTTACCACTGACAAAAGGTCACACGCCATAGAAAATCAATGGGAAGTAATGCATGTACTCTTAAAATATGGTAAGGATATAACAAAAAAGCCACTAAAATTCTCCAAACAATTTGATGGCAAATATTTAAGTGTCTAGCGATCTTCTCCGTACTTGTTTCAGGATGTTCTTCGACTTCGTGCAACACTGCTTCCTCAATTTCAGGTGTTCTCACACTTAGAGGTCTACCTTCAGATGTTCCTTTTCGGACAGAACCAGTTTCAACACGACGACGATGAATATTAGAAAAGGTTCGACTTGCTTGCACATTATTACCGTCGGCAATGCCATATACGTAATGCATTTCCGCCATTTCTGCATTTGAATATTATTAACAAGATTGTAAAAACTAAATAATGAAAAAGATGTCACAGCGAACAGATTTGAATAACAGAGACTTGTCAGATCTCAAAAGTCAGTGACATATTCCAGAGCAACTAGATATTTATTGCTAAATTGCATTCTTCAATTATTACATAAATTTTTTCGGACAATAGAACGGTTTTTATTTTTTTACTCAAAAATGGCGCATCGAAGGAAAACAATTCAAGAGAGATCATTTGTTTTAAATTAAACGGGGAATTCAAAAATAATATTTATTTGGCAAAAAACCATTGGCGTACCATTTTTTTCTTACAAAGAATCGAAGTCAATATCCGTACGCACTCCACTGTTAAAGCTAAAAATTATTTTTGCATTGAAAAATATGCAACTTTATTAACTTTCACTACGTAGCAAATATCAGTGAAATATCTGAAGCGGTTCTGAAAATATTAATTAATTTCCATTTTTTCCTAAAACTTCAACACCCCGAGTTTTTGTAAGGAAACATTTTTGGACCATAGTTTATATAGCAAACTAACATTAATTTTTCATGAAGATTCACACCCTTAAATATTCGCATATCATTAAGGAACACCCTGTATATATAAGAACAATAACATAGAATGGGTATTAAGTATTAACTTTAAAATAGGAAATAATTTTCGTTCATTTTCAATGCTGTTTATTTTCCGATTTTTGACAGGTTTTCACATAGAATGTGCGTCGGGGGAGTTTTTGAGACAATTCCCCATAAATTCACTACTCAAAATTCCCATGTTTGTTCCGCGTGGCCATAAAGCATAAAAATGAAACTCAAAATTGGTACCCATAATAATAAAATATATTCATCCAAAAATCTACATAAAAAATGTGAACATGTAAGTGATCATCATGACTGCAATATATTTATAAAATATAAGTTATAAATTTTATCAATAATGTAACGGAAATTGTTGCCATTGTTTTCTGTTATGGATAAAAAATAATGACGCGTATGAATCGTATATTAAATATAATTGCCTACGAAAAGAACTAGTATATACTCGTCAAAATTAATTTTTAATGGTTTTATGAACAATATCTAAATAAATAACAATTATAGTTCATCAATAAAGATAAGTTGATATAATAGCTGGTACACGATATTTAACATTTAATACATTCATTAGTTACGTTTTAAAACCAGAGCAGTACATCCTAGAACAAAATACTATTAAAACTTGATTTAAAATAGGTAAACTTGCATATTAGAACATTCTATCCGATAGAGCCATCTTTATTTTTGAAGAAATGTTTTTATATAAATAACCATAGCCATCTGATTGAAATTCGGGACGTGAAAGACAAAAAATGACGTCATAGTTGCAAGAGCTCTAACTTTCTTATTATTCAACGTAAAAGTGATAACATGTACTAAAAGTAAAAGCTACACTTTTTGTACGCAGCAATTCAGATGTCAAAATATACATATATACGGTAAAATTGCCACATACAAAAATTAAGAACTGTTGCCCAATCGACAATAAAAAATTGCTAAATCTGGAAAACAGATGTTTCATCTGATCTTGTCGAGAAGTTTTCAAATATAGCTTTTACGCTATTTGAAGAAAGGGACTAGATTATCTGAGCTATGTATTGAGCGTCAAAAGTTCCCAGCCTGGTAGGTTTGAAATAAGTCATAAGCAGTTGAGAAATTCATGTTTATTTTTTTGTTTATACTGCGAATTTATAAATATATCCTTAGTCACCAACGACCGGATACCACAGCCAAGCCATCACAATGGCTTGAATTGTTTATTCACCCCGTGATAACGATTGTTAGTTAAAATGAACCTCTGATGATACAGATACGCATTCATTTTGTTCTGCTATACCGAGGGTTTCAAATTCGAACCTAACCATTGGGATCTTGGAAATAATAAGAGATACGAAGACGCTTAAATGCGGCCAAGTTCGGTATTTACGTAAACGGTAAAATGCCGCTTAGACAGCTTCAACGTACTTCCGGAGAGACTGAAAAAAATCAATCGAATCGATATAATTTTTACCAGACTTTATCTGTAGTGGGATTTCATAATAAATTGCACATTAGCAATACCACTTTTGTTCATCTATAATTGTAATTTAGTTTGTCTTTTGTCCTGCAGCATCAACTTTATTTTTCTGATGGATGCCATACTGTATTTTCGAACAGATAAATAGTTTTCAATTGTATAATATGTCATACATTGGCACTGACAAAACTTAGTTACTCCTGAAAAACGGAATTTCCTACGTAGGCCTTGTAATCATCAGATAGTCCCTTGTTTCGTAAACCAGACCAGACATCAAATTGAACATATCAACAGAGTTTGGAAGACTAAGAAGAAGGGAAATTAATAGAGCAGTGTACAATACAGAGTCGTGCTTTGCCTACAAAATAACGGTCATTTTGTTATTATCATAAATAAAATTTTCATTTTGTGATCAGGTTTCACCACCTTTTTATTTCCTTAAACAAGGTTGGTGATAGAAGTCAAAAGAAAAAAACCTCGAATTGAAAATTTGACAACGCGATCTTTTGTATAGTAAAAAGTAGCAATTCCAACATGCAACTTATTTTGAAATCCCATTTCAAATAAAGTCACGAAAAAATCTGGTATCTGTAACAAATGACTATCTGATAATTACAAGGCCTACCCAGGACATTGTTTTTTTTTAATAACTGATGTTTGGCTTTGTCAATGTACGACACAATATACATTTTTGGGATCAGAATTAAAAACTATATTCATCTGTGCAAAAATCCGATATGGCGTATATAAGAAAAACTAAAGTTGCTGCTGGAGAACTGATGGATTCTATAAATCTTGGATAGCACTGTACAAAAATCAGATCGGATCTTTTCAACATATCAATCACTGAAATAAACTCTGTAAGTTTCTATTGTCTTGACAACTGTTTTTTAAGAAAAGGGGGTACAGTATCAGAATTAAGAGTATTGTCTCCTATTCCTTAGGTAAAAGCAACAAGGTCTCGAGACTAACGGATACAAAATAGTGTAAATAAAATTATTTCCGAACTTGCATTTGAATTTCTAGCGAAATGATTAGACCTTCGAAAATCAATATTTGCCTCTGTACATTTGTAATGTATGTGATGAAAACATGGTAAGCTACGACTGGAAATGCAGAACTGAATATGAATTGACCAAGATTTTGTAAGTAATAGTGCTTGATTTCTTACTTTTTCACTTTAAAAATAATTCCTTTTAGACATCAATCTGGAAAAATAAAAAAATGATCTATGTCATAAGAATTGCAGCTGTTTCACAATAACTGTCATGCAAAATTATTTTGGTTCCTACTATAGAATTTCTTGATACGAAGTTTACTGGAGTACAAAGAGAAAGTTAAGAACGTGATAAGATTTAATTTCCATTAGGCAGTTTTGCAAAAGTCTTCTTTAGATACGGACAAATTCCTGAAAAATATAAGTTTCCTTCCAGAAACATTTTTTTTTTCAAAAAAAAACAACAAACGTCTTATCGCAGAAAAAGTGGCAATGTTAATGTGCATTTTATTTTGCAATGTACTACAAATAAGTTCAGGAAAAAATTAAAACGATTTTGTTAAAATTCTGTCTTTCCGTATTTTAGTATTCGAAAATTTCTGAGCGGCATTTTGTTAATTTCCTAAATACGCAACTTTGTCTCCATTTGCGACTTCGTAATTTGATTTCAAGATCCCAATGGTGGGGGTCATAGCAAACATTCCTCCACCACTTGAAGCTGTGCGACTAGTTGCCAAAATTTTCATCTTTATAAAAGAACGACTGTGGAGTTAAACGTTCTTACAAGAACTAGAAAAATATAAAAGCAATCGTGATTTTAAAAGAAATTAATACGTGCCATTCCTGGTTGGTATGAAAAGCTTTTAGCTTTTAAATAAAAACTATTATTATTATTTTTCAAACAACAAAGTGCAAAAAGGATATGATTATTTCCTGTTCAGCTTCATATAGCGTTGCTGTCTCGTGCTCATGGTAAATGAACATCTAAAGAGTGGTGGGAAACAATCCAAAGCGATTGTTGACCGGATCTACAGATTTTTTAAATATAGGATTTTTCGTTGCTGTTATTCACCCAGGCCGTGTATTTTTGGCACTTCCCACTAAAACTACAAGTAAAGCGCTATAACTACCACACATAATCTCTTTTCAGGCATCTTCTCGAGACGACTAGCCTATATAATGAAATATATTCAAAATTACATCAGGCATGACAGTTTCTGTAGTTAAACGACATTTTTAGTCTCCATCAGAATTCAAGAATGTAAAATTGATTAGGAACTTGATAATATATTTATGTTATTCGGAATTCGAAAAAAATAGAACCAATAACTCCATGTACAAAGGTGGCAAGGTCATCGTACAAGACGAATTATAGCGAAAATAAAGACAGGCTATGCCAAATTATTAAGCAGTTCTCATTTATAATAAAAGAAGTTACTATTCAAGCGCAGCTAGAAATATAGACAAAATAAGGACCAAGAAAAAATCAAATAGCCTAGCTATTAAAATATACATTTATGATAGCACAAAAACAGCAATTTTTTTATAAAAAATAACCTCGATTGCACTACGTAGAACATCAAATATCACAGCTGGTAGTCTACCAGAACAAAACATTTTTACGAGAAAATAATGTTCGTGTAAGCTCATTCTTAAGCGTAAAGGCACATAAGCCGAAACACATGATATTATCGTGATAATTATTGCTTAATTCAGGTAATATGCCAGTAGTATCCCAAAAGAATTTGGGAATAATGCAAGATGTACCTGGTTATACGTCGAATTGAAAGGAAAAAAAAGGTTTGGTTGGCGAATTATTCCTGTTTCTTTTTGGTTACGTCCTGCGTTCTGAATTGACAGATTCAAGAAACAACGAGTATTCAGAACCTCAGTTCCTTACGAGCAAATTAGATAGGCATACCACAACAATCTTTTCAAAAACCTTGAATGGTTCCAAAAATTTAAAAAATACTTCTATATAATATACGATCATTGTATAAGAAACACTCGATCACCAAAATTCATAATTTTGTTTAGTCATGAAATCTGCGAGCAACGTGTTTTTGGAGATGATTAATTTTTTCACATTTCGAGAATGAAAGATGATTGGTTTCGTACATGAAGTCAGTGGACACCTTATATAAAATGCATTGTGGATATCCAGAATTTGAATCAGATGACTAACATTTCGTAAATTTGCTTGCTTTATATTTTTTAGGAAAACCTCACTTTCTCAACTGAACGACGGGTCTAAAAGCTTGTAACACAAGATTTGAAAAAATGTTAGTTACATATTTTTTCATTTTTTAAAATAGACATTTTACGTATATTCCACATACATTAAATCAGAGACAGAAATGTAGTTAAGTGCCCTGTTGATTTTATTTATTGAACACATATTAAGTGAGATATATATATATATATGTTTACTGTACGCAGCAAGAGTTCTTGTGACCGTTTTTTGCTTTTAGCCTCGATTTTGGACGGTATTTCTCCAGAAATGCCAACTGTTTCGCGTTGATTGCACCTCGCCGCTTCCTGAAACAAAGAAAAAGGCTCGCATTAACAGAAGACAAACACTATTATACAAGGTCTGTCGCACAGTAAACAGGGCAAAGAAAACAATTGACAAACATTTTTTGTTTCGAAAAATCGAATTTATTTTATCCAAAATAGTCTCATTCAGAGTTAATAAAACGATTTGCACGGACCAACAGATTTTCGAATGATGATTTTAGCTCATTGATCTGTACGACGGCATAGCGCTTTTCATGGCCAAATGTAGTTTACCGGACAGAAAATAGTCACACGGTGCCATATCAGGAGAATATGGGGAGTGGTTGATGGTTAAAGTTCCATTTTCTGATAAAATCGGACACAAGCGTTGATAGATGAGATGGTGCATTGTCGTGCAACAAGCGACAGCTTCCTTCCCCGCGATATTCTGGCCGAATGCGACGAATACGCGACAGCAAACGCTTCGTAATACCAAGATAAAATACAGCATTAACCGTTTGGTTCGAATTCTCTGTGAATAATTCCCTTCGAATTGTAGAAACAAATCAACATTGTCTTTACTTCTTTACAGATATTTAATTCCATTTCTATGTATTTCAATGAAGATTTTGGATTATTTTTGATAAATTCACGCTCTTTTTGGACGGTTTCTGGTGTAATCACAAATTTTGGCTGACCAACATGCTCGTCGTCTTCCAGCGACTCACGAGCAAAGCGAAACAACGGCAATTATAACAGGGAATATTAAATATGATGTGCCTTTATGTTAAAATTAGAGGCTCATTTTTTCGACCCCTTACTTCGACTGAGGTCCTTTCGAAGAATACATAATTTGACAAATGAACACCCTGTATGTTTTCGTGCTTTTATTTGATAGCTCCAGTTTTTTGCTGTTTCAATTTGGAAAAGTCCTACTATAATGAAAATGAATGTTTCAAATGGGGCAAACGACTCAAATATATGCATATCATTTTTTGCAAACTTTTCATGAGATTGATTGTATAACATGAATCTTACACGCGTCTCTGCGTGTCATTGATACGGTTGTTTTTGGACCCCTCACTCCGACTGAGGTCGCAGTCATCTTATATGTATAATATACTTGCGAACAATACATAATTTGGAAAATGGATTGGGATTAATCCGTGGGAGGTGACGAGTCAACCTACTTGACGCTATTTTTTCATGGCAACATTTAGACTGAATTCAAAGAAATATGACCAAGTTGCAAAAACAACCTGACTGAAAAAATACTGGACCTAAGATCAAACACAGTCGACAGAACTAGAATGTGTTACAACAATTTCATAATGAATGTGACTGCCTTGGGTTTAGGTGAGTCTTTTGCGAAAAAAATGCTTTCATGGAAAATCTTATGTTAAGTCTAAATTTGGAATCATTTTTTCTTGGAATTAATAGCATAACTCGAAAACTGTTCGAAAGAAGTGGTATAAAACTAGTACAAGAAAAAGTTCCCAAGGAAAGCTATTTAATGATGTAGAAATATACAGGGTGTTTCATTTGAAATTTATGAGAAAAGGTATATCTTGCGTTCTGAGATACCCTGTATAAATAGAAAGATATTTTCGCATTTCTTTCAAATCAGCTTAATATCGATGGTAATAATTTTTTGTGAACTAAAATTTATCTAAATAACTTCAAAGATGGCGAATCTGCGAGCCGTCAAAGTTAGGCATTTTTTGAGACATTTCACTAAATATCTAAACAACTAACAATGGAAATGTTGTATGATATCAAACTTCTTGTTTTTCAAAGCTCTATCCAAATATGCAATAAAATGTATGGAATTCTATTAAAAAAAAACACGAAGGTATATAATAAAATAAAGTTAAAATTATCACTATCACGGTTGCCACGAAAAAAGACTTCTGATATCTTTTCCAGTTGGCTCATAAAACTACTTTCCATTTTCGTTGGGGTACGTTTTCGCGCTTTTATTTCACGCGTCTTTGCGTATCACTGATAAAGCTGTTGCTACACCCCTGGTCATCGAACGCATATGTTAGGAGTGATTCATCCAAAGTTCAAACTACTTTCATCTGGAATGGGGAAATATTTTATTCATAAGCAGAAAATCGTATTTGTATCGGAAAAGGATCCCTCAACTTAGTAAAACACACAATCGCCTTTACGACAGCTTTCTTTGATCTATTTGTATCAGTATCCAGCACTCAGTGCTGTGCTCAATGGAGTTCTACTGATATTTGCATCAAAAACATAAAATAATATGAAAAGTATTTTTAAAAACAAGCTTTTATGGTAGCGTGTCAAGGTTATTTAGTAAAACGAATAAGTTTTGCTCAAAATAGAGAATCAATGTAGTAATAAAAATATAAATAAATAAACTATGTCTACGAAGTTACTAAATATCGTTTTCATTGGTTGTAATTTAACATTTTACTTATTTTTTTATGCTGCTGAAACAGAAACTCAATAAAATCGAAGTTTAACAAATTCATAGTTTTTTCTCTCATAACTGCGCCGCCGCTGTATCGCCGAGTATCTGTATTAACTGCAAATACCTAAATATTCCTTATCAACCGTACTGTTTCAGTTTTATTAAGTTCTGTCATGTCATATATTGAGCTGGCTCGTCATTACATGTAACAACCTTCGTGATAAACTTAGCTTGTCATGTATCTACATCTACATTATAATTATTGCAATAATGTATTATTGATGATAATTTGATCTACAAACATCGTGGGTGTCCTTAGATTATACTGCTCGACCAAAAAGAGCGAATATACCAACGCAAAAAGTACCAGTAGGACTTTGGTGAAGGGGCAATGTTGGTAGTTTCTGTCGCTCATTTCCGTCGGTCTGTCTGTCTGTCCGCCGATTTTTGGACACCCATTTCTCCTAACGTTTATTTTGTGTTACGCCGTATCTGATGGTTCTCTGAGTATTTTGTCAAATAGATTGACTTAGTATATATGATGCATTGATGTACAACAGACACGGACTGACATACCGACATAAATGAGAAACACGGACTTGTGTGATGCAAATATCATTAAGCAGCAAAAATCTTGTGAACCGAAGTTCGCGAGTTTAATACTTCCATCGTTTAGGTAGTCGTAGGTTTCGAAAATTGATTATTAAGAAGCCGCTGATCTCAGTGATACTATGCACCTATTAGACATAAAAAGTCACACATATTTTCCTACATCTGCCATGGAAACAGAAATATAATAGATTTGCTTTATATACATAGTTTGATATGCAGAGGCCGAAGATTCATCGTACCTAAGTGAACCTAGCTAATCACGATTCGATTTCGCCTTTTGAAACGATTTGACTCATCTCTTCTCTTTGAAACATCCAACGGAGGCGTAGGAAGTATAGAGTCAATCTACTTGACGCCATTTTTTGCCTAGTTTTTCTAAGTATGTACCCTATCAGGGCCCTTCATAAAAGGTGGTTGGATTTATATCGACCATAATTATTTAATGAACACCAAATCATAGAATATGGTACAAACCTCGTATTTTGTCAAACAATGTCTCGAAAACGTTGCTACTTAGAGCGCATTCTTTTCTTTTTTTTTTGTTAAATAATTGTTTTGGGCGAGATCAGGATTAAAAAAAATTAAACTTCGTTTTTTACGTGTTTCATTCTCCGGATTGCTTTGACTGATAAAACTCATTTTTAGGGTATAACAATTTTGAGCAAGTGGTATATCATTCTTAGGAACCAGTTGATAATTTTTGAAATGTCAAATCTGTATTGATTCATTGATTGTGATGCTCAGTATATGCACATTATTTTCGTAACGCTTGGATGCGATCTGTGTTGTGATATTACGTATTTGAATTCTCCGCGTGCCTTGGTTTTTGCGCATTAAAATAATTGAAATGTCTAGCCACCAGGTGGTCTTTTAAATATGTTGAGGGAATATTTATTTAGTACCTGTTCAAATTTCGAGGGCTGATTCCTTGAGAAAAGAAAAATTAGGTGCGATGTTTCGTTTTCAAAATACGGGTTCACAAAATCTCTTATTTAGAAAAACTGGTAATAATCCTCCAACCATTTTTGTTAAAGTTTGAAAAATTTTGTGGGTACAACTTACGTGTCCCAAAAAATTTTACTGAAATCACTTGAGAAAATCGGTTTATTAGAATCACAAATTGTCTTGACTATCGCCGGTTTTAAATCCGTTAATTTATTTCTTTTTGAACGTTTATACTTAAGCTTTTTTGTTCGATTTGAACTAGATTTCCTAACAGACGCCAACCTACCCCAAATGTTTTTACTAATTTGTTTTTTTTTTATTTTTACGAAAATAATGCACTATAGAAAAAACACAAGAGTAATTATGTGCAAATTGAAGATACAATTTGAAAAATAACGCGATTCGAAAAGAAAGCAGTGGAGTACTTTTATTTATTACAATGCCACACAATTAATTTTAAGTAAAGACTTTTGAATTTGGACAATACTTGGGTAAATCCACATACCAAATTTTAGTTCATTCCAGTTGACGGCTTAAAAAAATTGTTTCTTGTTTTTAAACTTTAGCACCCCGTATCTTTTTATAAAGCCCTCGAGGAAAAAATGTTACATAGAAGACCCCCCATAAAATGCGGTCCTGTATATGATGTTTCATTTTTGGTCACGACTTGTGAATCACCCTGTATAAACTTCACCTGAAGACGATTGAGGATACCACATCGATCAAATCGTCGTGATCTCAAAAATGTATAGACAATGGAAGTCCGAAATAAAACTTTTTGAAATAAGCTTTTCTTCTTACCACATAAGGATTTACCTCTAAACGTTAGTCATGTACGAGGGCGATCCGATAAGTAGAAGTATAAGAAAGATACGAGACAGTGGATTTTTGTCATGTGCCGTCGTAACCGTTTTCGGAGCAGCTAGGCGTGGCTCATCAAAAACCGACGTGCGACCATGTTGAAACTTCCTAAACCAATTTTTGACGAAGCAGAAGACTCTCACCGTACACAGCATCCAAACGCTCTTCGATTTTGTTGCACGAT